CTGTGAAGACGCCCCCCACTCGCCTGGGAATTGGGGGCCCGGGTGGGCGCGGCGGGGCGGGGCGGAAGGGCCCAACCGGGGGGTCCGCAAACTTTGGGGCATCCCTTCACCTCCGAAGCTGCCTGGGGGCGTCAGGGCAGGGTCTCTCCTGGCCGAACAACGAGGGGGAACCTCAGGTCATCCGGAAGGAGGCTCAGAGGGGGGCAGGGTGTCCTGGGGAGAGGTGCATGCCAGTTTGCTCCAGATGGTGTGGTGCCCTTTTCCTGGAGGACGAAGCACGGCAGGGGGCAGAAGGGTTGGGGGGGTATCTCAGGCGGTCTGATGGGGCAGGTTTGACAGCTTCAGGCTTTGTTTTCAAGGGAGCCATCTTTTATGTCTGCCTGTCTGTCTGTCTGTCTATCCATTTAATCTTGCCCTTCCAGTAAAAGGTACTGGCAGGCGGGGATTTCACATTGCTCAGCCTTAGGGTTATGGAATGCCAGGGGTCTCTTGACGAGTGTGGGCATGCTTAGACCCCTGCCCCTCCTGGCATTGCTGGCTTCTCATCCTTGCTAAACCGCAGAATATTAGGCTGCAAAATGCCCTAAGTGGGGCGGAGAGAAAGGGGGGTGGAGGGGACAGAAAATAGCCCTTCCTGGAGGGGCACTGTTTTCGGCCCTTTGTAATAGGGAGAGAGATTAGTAAATAACACCCAGACCTGGATCCTGGAGAAATCTAGGCTCCAATTGCAAATCAGCCATGCATTTTAAAGCACCATTTATTGGCTAGCCAGAAATAAAAGCATTTCTGATCACATGTGGTTTTAAAATGGGGTGGGGAGGGGGCTTCTAGAGATTCCTTCTAGGGGATCTCTGTTCTCCCCTAAGAAATGGTTAGACTAAGAAAATGTGTACTTTGCAGTATGGCAATTTGGATGGGTGGGGAGGGAAAGGATCTCCGTGTAAGCAAACCTCGGGGTGATAGAAAGGAGGAAAGAGATACTGGGATGAAATAGATCAGCCAAGTTTTGGCATTTCATCCCAAGGAAAGGCAACAATCTGTTCAATCAAATATCTTGGCACAGAGCAGCACAAGAAGCTGCAGTGGTTGGGAAGGGAAGTTAAGGGTTTGCAAATGAGGGGAAGAAGCTGAGCACACGAGGGCATTTCCTGCGCTTTTCTCTGTCCTGCCTTTGAACATGCTCCATGACCAGAAATCCAGCAGCCTCCCTCCCTCCCTCGATTGGTTCCTTGATTTGTTCCTTCTTTTTTCCATGCTCTGTTCCTTCCTCTTGCCTGCCTGCCTGCCTGCCTCCATCCTTCCTTCTCTCCCCTCCCTCCGCCCCTCCCTCCGCCCCTCCCTCCGCTAGCCCTCTCAAGCTGGAGTACAACATTTATCACCCCCAGCCTGGCTCTACTGGGGTGATGGCTGTTGTAATCCAACACTTCTGGGGGTGGGAGGTGTGTTGATGATGGACTAGGTTCAGGACTAGAGTCTGCCTCCACCCACACATAGCCAGCCTGCAGGGGGGAAAAAAATCCATGGTGAAGGGGTTTCTCTCAACGTGATTTCCTGCACACGTTTTGCAGTTCAGGTGCTCATCCTGCATTGCTGATGCTTAAAATAGGACAGGTTAGAAGCTGATTCTCTCTAAGGTGCACAAGGGGTCTTCCTCTCGCCCCCCTCCTTGAAAAGCTGGACAGCACC